CGCAGCCGCCCTCCTCGAACGCCCCCATCCCGTCCTCCCCCTCAGCGCCATTCGCATGCCGGAGAGCAGCATCCGGAGGGCGCAGAGAGAAGGTCGCAGCCACCCCCACAGCCCCGAAGCGTCTCACCTCAGGGCGCTCCCGCTCGCGTCCTCACAGATCCCGCCAGAAGCGCGCCTCGCGGGGCCTGTCGGGAACGCAGCGACACGCGCATGCGTAATGGAAGAGCCACGGCGTCGCGGGCGGGACTACGCAATCCGGGGGTGGGGCCTGGCTTGAGGACTCAGCCGCGCGTCCCCACCGTCCCCACCGATGTTCAGTGACTGGCTTTCTGGCGTGAGACCCCGCCCTAGACTCCGCCCTGAGCCACCGCCCGGTAGGAGAGTGATGATTGGCTCGCTCTCTCGAAGTCCCGCCCTCGCTCCCGATCTCCGGGCCAAGCGGCTGGCTTCCCGCCGAGTCCCCTTGGGCGCTGCGCGGTGCCGCCGCACTCGGGGCCGCGAACGTGCGGTTCTGCCCTCCGTGCCCGCTCCCGCTCCCGCTCCCATTTCTGGAGTTCCGAGGCCCGAGAGCTCGGCCGACCCCACTCTGTCCCCCTCTGGGACTCTGGTGGTGCCGGGAACGAGGCAGCGCACCCAGCACCCCAGGTCCGGCGGCCCGTCACGCGCGGCCCCTCACGGCGCGGGCTCCGTGGAAGGGTTGTGGGGTGCTGGAACCTTCCGCGGGGGGAGGAGGACGGAGCGGGGAGAACCAGCCAGGAGCAGTGTGTGGATTTTTACAGACTTGGAGGAGGAGCTCAGAAGGCAGTTGAGGGCGTGGATGCGGCCGCCTGGGGGGGGTTCTCCCTAGCCGGGGCTTTGCGGGGGGAGGGGGTCCTCCCCAGCCGGGGCTTTGCGGGGGGGAGGGGGAGGTCTTCCCCAGCCCTGCGGCCAGGCCCACCGCGGCTTCCTGGACATCACTGTCCCACCCACTTCCGAGCTGACCACAGTTACCCTCGCTAAGACTAGACCTGAGGATCACGGTTTGAAGCCAGCCAGGCCAGTAAAGTCCCCAGAGACTCTTACCTCCCGTCATTCATTCCAAAAGACCTCAGGGACTGTGCCCAGGCCCTGAGTTAAAGCCCCCCATAAAACTACAAAGTAAAAGTTAAAAGTGTTAGCGTCACAAGTACAAATGACAAACACACAGGGTCTTCTTGATGTTGTATTTGGAATTTTATCTCAAACTTATTTCTAAGGCAAGCTTTCTTCCAATCAAAATCAATTGGAGCTTCAGTGTAGTCAAAAGATAAGGACCTGTAATCCTAGCTACTCAGGAGGCAGAGGTCTGAGTATTGTGTTTGAAGCCGGCCCAAGCAGGATAATCCATGAGACTCTTACCTCCAATTAAATGCAGGTGCACACACACACTGAAAAAGACTAGAAGTGGAGCTGTGGCTCAAGTAGTAGAGCTATGCTAGCCTTGAGCACAAAAGCTCAGGGACAGCGCTGAGCTCAAGCCCCAGAACTACACACACACACAGATAAAGGGGACACAGGAACGAATCCACACAGAGCAAGCATATAAGTATAAAAATATAATGAACCAACTAGCCTTCAACATAGGTTTGTGGGAATGAGTGCTATTACTATTTGCTTTTTTTCCTTCCTAGATGTTTTCCTCCCACTAATATTAAAAAGTATCTTAGGCTTTGGATGATGACTTTTCAGACTATTTTTATACTCTTTGCATCAGTTTGTGATGCTGAAGATTGTTTTTAGATACCATTTGAAATTTCATTATTATTGTGAGGTAGAGAGGTTAGATGACATTTTAATGGAGGTGCTGTAGGGAATAGAGTGTTTTTAAGCGGGGTATGACACACTCAGATGTGTGTTAAGAGACTTGACTCTGCAGCTACAAAAGCAACAAAGGTGGAGGAGTAAGCCGGAACAAAGCAACCCAGGAGTGCGATAGGGCAGAAGGAGCTGCGGGAGCTGGCAGGACCAGGGTGTAACCAGCCAGAGAGATGTGACCTGGGAGACTACCAGCTCCTGATCAGATCGGGGTTCAGTGACACAGTGCTCTTAACCTGTGTCCTCCGGGTGCTGGACGCCTTCAGGTTCATGCCGATGTCAATCTGGTGCTGAGCTAAACCGAAACCTTCACCAGCATTGGCTCTGGTGGCGGCTGCTCCTCCTCCACCTGAACTGGGATGAGGGGGAAAGGGAGGACCAGCTCCTGGGATGCCTTTCGTTGCTCTGTCCATTGTGAGGCCTGCCTGGGCAGAGTCCACCCCTCCCATCCCTCCTGCCCTGACCTAGGAACCTGCACTCCACTTGGAGTCTGCATGGATGCCAGACTGTGAAGCAGCCTCACTAACGCCTTGTCCATGTTCCATGGACATCCCAGCTGGACAGGGGAAGCCTGGGAGTTGAGGCAGTGTCTGCTGGAGCTCTTCTTTTTCTTTGAGACAGGAGAAGAAATCAGACTTTCTTGAGACCTCAGGGTTGGAGGAGGGAGGAGAAAGACTGTTTATCATCATATTGGCATGTGATGTCATGTGACAAAGTTAACTGTCCTCAAACTCAGAAGCGCAAGCTTGGGGGTGTGGTGTGTGTGTGTGTGTGTGTTGGGGGGGGGTCCTTGGAGTTGGAAGGAATGGGCCCAGAGGACTGGCAGAGCTCGGCAGCCAAAGAGAGAAGTGTCTGATACTTGGCCTCAGACAAACGGGGTGAGGCAGCACGGAAGTGAAGTGCTGCTGAGAGCCACTGCAGCCCCACCCCGAGGAACGGCATAGCCCACTTCCATGCTGGTAACCTGGGGTTGGTGTGCAGCTCCTCTGGCTAGAGATCGGGTTAGGAAGCAGGAGCCATGTGCAATGGCCCTGCCAGCAATTAGCTCAGATTAGCCTAGCCCCAATATTGTGGCTGTAATCTCAGCAAAAATGTGAGGGGAAGGGACGTGGGGGGGGCAGGGCCTCAGGGCGGGCTGGGCCTGAGCCTGCCAGGAGAGCTACAGGAGGTGCGCTGAGGGCAGGGTTGGGGTGAAGGACAGGATAAGGCCGATGTTGTGGCTCAATGCCAAGGTCACGGGACTTGGAGGAGGAGGGCAGGGAGAGCAGCAGGGCCAGCTCCGGGCGCCCCAGCTGCCCAGAGTGGGCGAGGGCTGGCCGTGGGCGGTACCACTTGAGGGTGCTGGCTGTGGCTTAGCAAACAGGAACTTGACAGACCTGCCCAGGGGGGATGCGGGAATCCCGAGGGTTGGGAGGGGCAGGTCTCCATCCATCCCCCTCTGGCCAGGTAGTGGGGGAGGAGTACCTTCTGTGAACCTCAGTTTCTCAACCTGTAGAGGACCCCCGCACGAGGACTCGGGTGTTGCTTGTGGCTCGCATGGACCTTGTGCCCACTACTTCCAATTGTGAGCGGTAGTGACAGACTGTGAAGCATTATGTTTGGAACTTAAATGTCTGACATTTACAGCAACACCAACTCAGGCCTCAATTGTGTTCCCATCAGAATTCCCTCCCTTTGAGAGTGCCCCCCAGGTGGAATCATCCTGGCCCAGAATCACACCACCTGTCCCCCCAAAACCTGCCAGCAGGTCCCATCTCTAGCAGCTGTCATGGGCCCAGCCTGGGGCTGCTTCTCCCATCCCCCACGCCCTCTGTAGTGCTCAAGGTGGCGCATCCCCACAGGGCAGGCTCAGACAGCAAGTCCTCCCCACCCCACACACTCTCAAAACCTCACAGCTGCTCCCCCAAGACAGCTGGACGGAGGCAGGCTCTGCTGGCAAGTCCTGAGGTGGGCAGCAGACAATGCCCAGCTTACTCTAGGGATGCTGGGGACTGGAGAGCCACAGTATAGAACCCTGGAAAGGGGCAAGCTACCCGCAGCCCAGTGGCAGCCAGCCCAGCCCAGGGCTAGGCAGCACCCCAAACCAGTAATAGCAACACCTGTGGGCACAGAGGCGTGGAGAGGAGTCTGCCTCAACCCCCTCCCGTACTCCACCCAGGGGTGACAGTGGGATCCACGACTGGTTGGGACACAGGGCTTCCTGACCCGTCAGAAGCAGAGCCCGGACAGGGTGGCGTGGGTCAGTTACATGGGCTGGGATGACGGGATGAGCTCAGGCCCTCTAGCCAAGGCTGAGGGGAAGGGTGCAAAGCAGGACGATGGAAAGAACTGGAAGCCAGAGGCCGAGGTATAAAAATCTGTATTTATATTACAATGACAGATTGACACAGCACAACCCTGCCCCGGGGGTGGGAGGGGCTGCTCGGCAGCTCAGGACCTGCCCCAGTGCCCCACAGGGGTCTGGAGTAGGGATGGAGCCGGGGTGAGGGAGTGGCAGGCCAGCTGACCCCAAGAGAGCTTGGTGATAGCTGGGAACAGGAGAGGGGCTAGAGGTTGGTTCCAGGGTCCATCCACCCAGGGGCATAAGCTCAAGAACCCTGCCGTGCCACTGGGAGGGGCCCCAGGACGAGCCACCTGCAGCACCTCCAGCCGACCTGTAGCAGAATGGGAGCCCTGGGTGGGGCTGCTGCTCCCATGCCCCAGCCCAGCCCGGGCCTCAACCAGTCAGCACCACGGGGCCTACATGGGCAGGGAGGGTACAGAGAAAGGACGCAGACTGGCTATTCTGGCCCTGACTTCTTTCTAGAGACCATATCTGCCCTGCTCTGACCCTGTGGCCACCAGTAATGACCAGCTTGTGCAAATGGAAGGGAGTGGGAGAGGAATGGATAGGGACCTCTTAGCACCAGTCCCCCTCCACCCCCAGACCGGCTGCCACACCTCTGCAGGCAGCAGCAGGGGGAAGAAGGGTAGAGCCTGGGCAGCTGCAGAGCCCAACCCTGCAGTCTTGTTGGGACGACGACGGCTGAGCTGCTGGGAAGGTTGGCCTGGGAGCTGCTCTGCTCACCTGGGTTAGATTCTGCCGGGCAGAATGAGGGAACTGATGACTTCAGAATTCTGACTTGGGAGCAAGCCCTAAAGACAGACTGGGCACTGGGAATGAATGCTAGGTGGGCCGGCTCCCACAGAGAGAAGCCCCCTTTCTAGACCCTGCAGACCCCCAGAGGCAGGGGAGATGCAGACAGAACCGCTCAGCATCCTCTTAGGCATCCTCTCCTATTCCACAAAACCCACCCGCAGGCCTCCTCTCCACCCGCTCTCCAACTGCCCCTGCAGGGCCAGTTCTGTGGCAGAGCTGTTTCCAGGGAACCCTTGCCTAGTGGGGCCCCCACCACAGGGTGTCCATCGACATGGTGAAGAAAAACAGCTTGAAACTTTATCACAGATGCCCTGGGGACGGGACGGGCGAGGTGCTGCTGCCCTGCCCCCTGCTGCCACCACCTAAGTATTGCTGTGTGCTGCCCACAGGGAAAGGTCTTCAGGAATGACAGACCAGCAGCAGCAGCCTCCTACCCTAGCCAGAGACAGCTGTGTCCACCCGCTGCCATCAGTGGATTCCTAGATCCACCTCAAGCCGAGAACAGGGGCTCCGGCAGAGTTGCGGGTTCATAAGGAAGCCCTGGCCAGGCAGACCTGCTGTCCCCAGGCTGCAGTCAGCCACCAGGGAGGCACCACCAAGCCCGGGGCCACGGGCCCTGCCTAGAAAGTAGCCACGCCGCTCACACGGGCCCGGACATGTCACTGGAGGCGGCCACAGCTGTGGGAAGGGTTGGAAAGCTGCCGGGCAGGCCGGGGCATCCCGTGAGCCACAGGGACATGCTGGTGGTGGCGGCAGGGCAACACAGGGACACAAGGCACACTATGACGGTGTGCGGGGGACAGGTCCCTGAGACGCTGGGTCACTCCCACCCCTCGGCACACAGGACACAACAACAGCTAGGAAAATAGAGTACAAAAATCTTATATAGGAAATAAAGGCGACACACACTCACGTCCTCAGTGAGAGAGTCTCCAGAGTTTTCTCTTTTTAAAAATGTTTGTGTTTTTTTGGGAACCCTCTGCCGGCTGAGGCCGTAGGCAGAGCGCTGTGAGGGGCTCCCTGGAGGGAGCTCCTGGGTGCGCTTAGCCTGCCTGCCTTTCTCTCTCTCTCTCTCTTTCTTCTTCTTCTTTTTTTTGCTTAAGAAAGGGAGATGAGCGTCCAGGGGCAGTGTACCCAGCTCACCCCAGTCTCTGTCAGGAAGAGAAACCATATTCCTGCACAGACCAGGCAAAGCCACCTGGGCCAGGGAAAGGCGAGTGGGGGAGGGGGAAAGGGAAGGCAGCAGGAAAGCCAGGCATAGGCCAGGGGCCAGCACTTACAGGCGGCCCGTGGAGGCCCAACCTCACAGGATGTGTGTCAGCTGGTGCCCGCATGTCTGTGTGAGTGTGCGCGTGTGGGAGTGAGCCCAGGGGGTGCATGTGTGTGTCTCATGGTCCTAAACAGAGCGGAAGCTGCCTAGCGTGGCACGGAGTGGCCTGACTAGCCCCCAGGAACGCGGCCCTGGCTCCTGACACCCGTGGGAAGAAGGCCTCTCTCCACCCGCATGCCCCAGGTGCTCACCCAAATCCCGCCCTTCACGGGTCCCTTGGTCCACGCCTCAGGAGCCTGTGTGGACCAAAAGATGGACGTACAGACAGACAGACAGTGGCGCCTTCCTTCCTTCCTCAGTCCACGCCTCTCTCCCAGGATCTGGCGTCGGCTCCAAGCTCCCGCGGTGGTCATTAAGCCCCTGACATGGAGCCCACCGAAGTTTGCAGCAATGACATTTAATACTTCTGGAATGATTGGGAATCTGAGAACAGACTGTGTGCAGCTACGCTGGGCTCCAGGGCGCGGGAGCTGGGCTCTGCCTCGCTGCAGGACCCTGCTCTGCAGGAAGAGGCTAGCAGTCCAGGCAGCGGTGGAGCTTCCAGAATGGCACAGCAGTGGGCCCACGGAGAGGCTGGCATGGGTCAAGGGAGGACCGGAGGGCTGACACGCTCGGCCAGGCAGGGCGGCGGGCCGAGGAGCACAGGACATGGGACCTACAAGAGGCCAGGGTGGCCGGGCCGCTGGCAGGGGCGCCCGTAGCTGCCGTCGCTGCAGCCGCCGCTCCGCAGGCTGTAGTGGTCATCGGTGTCACTGCTGCTCCCAACACTGTCCAGTTCCCCGGGGCCCAACTCCATGCCCTCTATGTCCACCTCTGGGGAAACAGAGGGGAACAGGTCAGGCTGGCGCTCTGAGGCTAGCTGGGAGCTCCCTTCCAAGGCAGGGCTCCTCTCCCACAGCAGCAGAGGCTCTGGGGTGGGGGTGGGGAGGACGGCAGACCTGCCTGGCCCAGAGGAAGCAGGTACAAGACCGCTCCAGAGTGCAGCCTGAGATAAGAACGCAGCCTGGGACTCAGCGTGGTGGTCAATGCCTGCAATCCCAGCTACTTAGGAAGGAGGAGTAGCTAGGTAAAGTTAAGAGGGAGATTCTCTGAAAAACAAGCTAAGGACCCGAGGGACCCAAGCGGTGGGGTGCTCCCTTGCCTATAGTAATCACAAATTCCCGCATCTAAACCCAGTACTTGGGGGAGGGGGAGGGGCACGGGGGGGCGGGGGGCACGCCAGGCTCTGGGCCTCAGGGACAGTCACCATCAGAAATGCACACGCCTCGTCGAGTAGGGTGGGGACCTCCTTGTCCCGGGAACACCCCCACCCAGCCCCTGGCATCCCCTCTGCCACGGGGAGGTTCAAGGTGCCTGAAGCCCGCGCAGGCTGCCCGGGCCCCCACCTTGCTCCGAGTCGTCTGTGGAGACAGCCGAGCCGGTGCTGTCTGTGCGCACGCGCTCCACGCTCTGCACCGACAACTGCTCCAGGCGCCGCTTCAGGAAGCGGTGCTCCCGCTGCAGCTGCTCCTTGATGCTCAGGGCACGTCGGTCCTGCTCCTCCAGTTTCTGGGGGGCCGTACAGGGTGATCTGTGGGGCTGGGAGGGCCGCGGAAGCCTGCACAGAGCAGGATCCTCACCCCTCATGGGGTGACCCCACACGGTCCCCAGCTCCACTGGCTCCCAAGACGGCCTGGCCCTGTGCTCTCAACATGCTGCCCAGCTCTAAAATGCCCATAGCTGCTGGCCAGCCCAGCCAAGCCCAGTCACATGCGGGTCTGAAACTGCTAGCCAGCACCATCTCCCGAGGCCTGCCCCGCTCGGCCCTCACAGAGCTTGCGCCCACAGCCTCTGTGCCACGCCCTCACCTTCAACTCCCTCCTGGCCCAGTCAGTCACTGCTCTGCGAGGACCCCCAGCCCCAGGCCGGGCCTCTCTCGAAGCTCCCACCACGTAGGCCCTGAGGGGCAGAGGAGGCCCTTCAAGGGGACAGAGACCCACCTTCGAGCATTCCCAAATCCCCAAACCTGCCTCATCCCATGCCCACTGCCAGCAGCCTCCACGGCCCCACACCCTCCAAGATGGCTGCCTCCTTCCAGAGGGCCTGCTTAGGAGAGCATGGAAAGACCCCTGGCCCCACCGGCCCTTCCAGTGGCCACCCCTGCACAGCCCAGGGACACACAGCCACCATCCTCCCCTCCTCCCCCAGCCTGGCCTGTGCACACCACTGCCTCCCCCCCACCAGCCTGGCCTGCGCACACCACTGCCTCCCCCCCCCC